GTTGGGCCCCGACTGGCCTTTCCTCCCTGCCCTTGGCTGTTGTTGTCCAAGTGAGCCGTCTGAGTCAGCGTGATAACAATCTGACTGACATCACCCAGATAAATACACACACAGTCCCAGATACACACACAGTCCTGCACAGGGGTGTATTTTGGGGCTGATGAGGGTGTCAGCCCAGTGCCCTGCTGGGGCACAGGACATTACGAGTGGGGCTCCTTGCACCCCTCCTGCCCCCTGTGCGGCCCTGGGCCGGGAGGAGACTGACAAAGCACCCAGAAAAAGACCTCCTCCTCTTGTACATCCCTTGGGAAATCACCGTCTCACCTGAACCGGCAAGGCACGTGCTGCTAAAGGGCAGATTTTGGGGTGAAAACAAGCGCGGGGGTCCCTGAGTGGGTGAGCTGGGACGTGGGGACTGGCAAGGCTCAGCCCTTTGCTGCCGGTGACATCCCCACGATGCCTGTGACCTGCCTGCACAGCAGGCGAGCAACATTTGGGTGCTGGTCAAGGGGACGTGGCAGCCCTGCCCGTACCCCCAGCCCCTTTGGCAGGGGATGCCCCAGGGCCTGCTGGTACCTACTGGATTTTCTTGGTGAAGTTCTTGGAGACGATCCCTCCTTCCACCTGCTGTTCCTCGTGTTTGCCTGCAGGGAAGGGCAACACCCCAGTCACCACCTCACCGGAGATCACATTTTCCCCAGCAAACAACAACAGAACACAACAGGAAAGCTTTCAGGGGAGGTCTTTCCCTTCCCAGGGCAAAGCTTCCCCTTCCCGGGGAGCCTCTCCTATGTGGGGAAGGGGATGCTGGACACAGCACACCCGTATTTCCAGTGGGAACCTGGAGTCCCATGAACTGCCAAGAGCTGGGGCTTAAGAAAAAGCCCCTGTATGTAATAAAACCTTTGGAGGTGGCAGTGTCCCCGATGTAATAAAGGCCTTGGAGGTGGCCGTGTCCGCCCTTGTCCCACTGCCCACCCTGCTGTCAGCCTGGGCGCCCCTGTGCCTGCAGCAACTATGAAGGTCCAACCATGTTGGCAGCTGCCCTGACGC